AACTTTTACATTGTTCTTCCTTAAGTCCCAGTTAATAGTTAAAACATTAAAATAAGAAATGAGAGTTAAGAAATTATATGCAAAAACAAAAGAAAATTAGGTAAACAAGCAACATTTGGTATACACAAGAAGCAAAATGAAAATGTGATATTAAATCAATTTTAAGGAATGCAAGGTAAGGAATTTATTAAACTGTGAGTATCAGGTGGAAGATTGTTTCACAGTTTAACTGAGCGGTATTTTAATGTATTTTTCCCAAATTCATTGCTCCATTTAGGTAAAACTAATGTATTTTTCGATTTGCTTCTTGTGTTTAGACTGTGATAATTGTCCATTTTCTCTTAAAAATTATTTAAGTACTCAGGGACTGTGCCTGTTAAACATTTAAAGGTCATAATAAGTATATTCTCTTCCCATCGTTGATTTACATACTTCCAATTTAGAGATTTCATAAGATTGTTAACAGGTGTTCTGATATCAGCATTTAAAATAGTGGCAAGTCTATTTAATAATACTTGGAGTGAGTTGAGATGGTCTACAGTACAATTTGACCAAACAGAACTACAATAATCAAAAAGTGGCTGTACTATGGCATTAGCTAAAAGTTTAAGAGAAAAATTAGGAATGAAACTTCTTAATCTAAGAATAATTCCAATACGTTGGCATTTCTTTGAACACACATTTTCAATATGCATGTTCCAAGTGAAAAAACTATCAAAAGTAATGCCTAAATACTTAAAACTATCGACCCTATCAACCAAGTTACCATCTATTGACAAAGAAATATTTAGAAAATTTTGAAGAGTGCATTTAGAACTAAACAACATAATTTTTTTTTTCAGCATTAACTGTTAATTTGTTCAAATTAAACCACTTTGAAATATTATTAGTAATACTAGTAGCAAACCCAAGTCACCCTCTCCCCCATTAAAAATGTCTAAAGCCAAAAAAATCATGCTAAAGCATTTGAAAATCACCTCATTTCACCTTATTTTACGACCCAGGCCCCATCACTTAACCATCGATTCCCCACTTCAGCTCTGTGTCCCCTTCCCATCAGCTCCCCTATTTTAAGTCTCCTAGATGCCACTGTTTATTACTCTCCATACGAAACTGGTTGTTTGGTTAATAAGATAACAAAAGCAAACCACTTTAAAAATTAGTTACAGTATACAATCAATACTTAAAAATTTCAGTGTACTGTTTACACATCACATCGCCCACAGAATAATTATTGTAATTCTTTTCTTAATCCATAGGTTAAACTAAACATCAGGGGAAAGCCGACATATACGTTAAAGTTAACGAGGCGTTTTCTACTGACGTTAAAATATGAGTACCCATTAATGAGTAGTATACTTTAAATCACATCAGCCTGATTAAAGTGGTCAAATCGGTTGAGTAAAGATGCTAAAAACCGGAATCCGTGGGTTTAAAATGGTACTATCATAAAAAATTTGTTAGACGTGATAAAGTTCACATATTTTACAATAAAGTTATATGCATGAATAATTCCTAAGTTTACACCATTAACATGCTTCTACTTGTAATATTCTTGAGCAGAGAGACTGTAATAGGAATATTTAAGTGTTAGAAAAATCACCCTAATTAATAGTATGAGGTATGATCCTGTAAAAGCATGGCAACTTAAAGATTATTCACGAAAGAGTTTCAAACCTGTATCTCTGTTTATAGATTGTTCTGATTACATTTTGTGTAGGCTCTATATTAAACTGACTAAACTACAGTATGTCAATGTAGATCTGAATTTTTTATATTGACTTGATTTTCATGTTGGAATTTTCATCATCAGTGTATAATTTACAAGAGTGTATTCCTACTAAGTTACAATTACATACACTTTGTTTTTTACAAGAACCAGTAAAATTTTGCCTAGGCTCAGTGTTCTTATTTCTTTTTGCATACTTCAAGCTCAGAATGTTCTTATTTGGTTCTTATTTAACATACTTTTCAAAGATAAAAAATGATTATTGTATCATAGTATATTATTACTGTACTGTATTATACAGGTAGAGTCATACTATACCTATTGCACATAGGGTACAGAAGGAAAAAGGAATTTTAAAGCACAACCTTTTTAAACATTAATAATAATACTTTACTGTATGTGACTAGCTTGATTTTTTTTTTTGGTTTTTTTGGTTTTTAAAATAAAAACATTATTTGAAAATTTACCTGTCTTAATTTGTTCTTATTTATTAAGAAATTTCAGCCTCAGTGTTCTTATACAGAAATGGAGATTGTTATGCTACTACTAACTACTAGACAATAAAAATCAAGGTATATAAAAAGAATTCCTTGAGCTTTATCAAATTTTAAATGCATACTAAAATAATGTAAATCAAAGGCTTTTTTAATTTTTTGTTATCGGCATTGCATCTTACTTTCTTTTATTGAGGAATGTAAACAGTGTAGTAAATGGGATTGATAAATGATTTAAATTTATATAATTACCAAAGAAATAGATATATTTTGGAAGACTTCAAGGCAGCAGTAAAAATATAAATTTTTATCTTTCTATGAAATTTACATTTCTTGTGGCCAAAAACTAAAATTTTGTTTTTATTTGAAATAATTGTTATCGACAGGTGCCGGCTTTGTGTATCAAGGTATGAAGTCTCGCCTTAGGAAAAACTCCATTAAAGTAAATTACCATGTTTTTCATTTGTTTCATATATCAGGGGCGGATCCAGTATTTAAAAGAGGGGGGTTTCAAATGTTTCCAAAAAACCCCAAAATGATAGGGAGGTGGGGGTCGTCTCCTGGGAAAATTTTTATTCCTCGATGGCCGGAAATGAGCTTTCACGACTTCTGAGTAGTCTTCTAATGACCTTTAAGTTCATCAAAATTCAAGGTTCCCCCCTCCCCCTTGAGAAAAGGTCAGGTAATTTTATTTCATTCTTTAGGCCTATCATCGAGAAAAAAAAATCAAAGACAGGCAATATTATATTATATATTATTATTTTTATTATTATTATTATTATTATTATTATATTCCAACAACATTGAGTAGTTAGATAATGTAGTCTTTCTTTCAAGGATCGATGAACCAATGGATCGATGAACCAATAGGCCTGAAGAACGCACTTTCGTACATAAATTATTACGACGGCGAACCTCTTGAGAAAAGGTCAGGTAATTTTATCTCATTCTTTAGGCCTATCGTAGAGAAAAAAAAAAAATCAAAGACAGGCAATATTATATTGTACTATTATTATATTCCAACAACATTCAGTAGTTAGATAATGTAGTCTTGCTTTCATGGATCGATGAACCAATAAGCCTGACGAACGCACTTTCGTACATACATTATTACGATGGAGAACCAAAAACAGTAAGTATAATTTATTTAATTGAAAACTAGTTGGGGTAATTGTCTGATCTTCCAACCTATGCCTAGGGGGGGGGGATCCGCCACTGCATATTCTGTATTTTCAATGTTTTTCTGGTTTATCGAATGGGTAGTCCAAAATATATTTCTAAAACAAATTAGTATACCACTTAAGAGACTTGTGTGAATGTATTGTTAATGTCTGAAATAATAATATTATATCTCTTAAAGCGTTATCAAAAATAAAGGGCTCTATGCACTTCATAATATTACTCAGATCACTGGATAGCTGCCAATTATTGACATTCCACACAGAAGTACTAAGTGTAAAATAAGTCACTCCATAGTATTGATTCAATATTGTTACAATAAATTTAGAAACATTACAGTATTTTGTGATGAGTCAACACTAGTGCTGTGGGGCTGGCGGGGCCCAGGATAAGAAAAAGCATATTTCTCTATTATCTCTGTAACAGTTTAAATTAAGCATTTATTCAATTCATTTTTATTGCAATAAATATCATATAAAAATAGTGTAAATGACTGGATGATACAATATAATTATACATATACATAAAAGGCCATGGCTTTGGCGGCTTTGCCACCAGGACTCCTTGGACCTTGCTTGTGCCTTTACCAACCTCCATACCCCAGGCAGTGGACCTGGCAACTACGCTGCCCCAGGGCCAAGTGTAGTGTACCGGACAATATTTACAATGTACTTATGTATCTCTATTTACCTAAATTTTGAGATGTTCAGACTTATCTCCATTTGTCTCTCTAGGGATATACATCAATATAAATATGAACTTAATTTGGTGGTTTCAGACCAATGATTCTCTCACCTTAATGTAAATCGAGAAGGACTGCTAAGAGTGATCAAAACATAGAGCAGTAACCTTTAAATTCTCAGTTCAACAAAAGTGAAAATTTCAATTTGGCATAATTTGATTTACATTAATGTCTATATGTCTTTTCCAGTGAACTTGAAAAGTGCATTTCAATCACTGATAAAGCAGTGTAAAACACCTCAATCTCTGGAATGACACTTTCTTACACTTGAGCTATGCCCTCTTGTGTTCAGCTCGCAGGCCAAAAAAAAAAAAAACAAACACAATTTGTTTGTCAATAACCGACTAACAATAGTCAATGAGTCATATTGGCTGTCACCCCTTTTAAACAGTTCGATAGTCAGCAGTGCATCTAAGCTTTATGTCAGTTTTCACTCTGATAAATTGTTATGGATCAATCAATCAAATAATCCAGATTAAGTTGAGCAAGTTTCTTCACACCCACAAGTGACAAGTCAGAAATGGTGTCAAGTTACCTAATTTGGATACCTATGAATTTTTTGATGGCAATGCAAAGAACACAGAGTACACATTATCTAATATATCAATACTAGTAATAAGTTTACATACAGAATTTAAAGGGGCAGTTCTACATGCATTACCTCATAAATTGACATTTTATGACTTTTATAACATTATTATAGCAGCAGTTCTACTGTAAGTGCGATAACCACGCAGCATGAAAGTGTCTGCCCTTACATTTTAAAATACTGGTAGTCACTGATCAATCATACATTTAGCAATTCATACAATTCATCAGTAAATTTCATCCAAATAAACAAATCCATTGAACATACCTTTAGCCTTTGGGGGCGAGTAGTCCCTGTTGAGTACGCTGTACATAACATCTTCAAATGTGTTACCATCAAACGGTACGTGGCCTGTCAAGAGAAGGAGAACAAATCAATAGATGCTGACATTTTATGTGACATCCATAGGAAGTCACAACAGGTGATGTGTAAAAAAATTTAATGATCGAGGTTGATCTATAATACCATTCAATGAACATCATTGATGCGTAGGGCAGATGAAACACGAACAGGTGACTATAACTTTTATTTAGACTTTTTAAAAAATTAAAAAATAATTTTGCTGTTATAAGGTTCACAATCAAGTCTTTCCGATTTACATGGAAATAAAAAATGCCTTCAACACAGACTGATGTTCTAGGATCATTATTCCATTGATGTGAGAATCTATCACACTCCATATTATAAAAGTATGATCGCCTTCACTGGTCTATAAAACTGGTTGGGTTTTTTAGTGCTATTTATAGTGTCAGTGACAGGTCCAGGAATTACAAATAGAGGAAGCCTGGAGAAGGAATTTTGACAGATGGAGTATACAGAAACTACAGTTCAAACCTCAAAAAAAATCTGAGAATAATTTCTAGAATCTAAAACTGGACAGTGAAAACAGATTTAGAGCATGAGAAAGAGACAACAGTCTCAGATTATAAACAACTCAGTGAGAGGATCCAGGAATTTGAAAGAAGTTGAAAGGGGGAGGGGTCCCAGAAGATCAATTTTACAAATTGATGGCCTAAACCAGCTCATTTTTGACAGATGGAGTATACAAAAACTAGAGCTCCAAACCTAAAAAAAATCTGAGAATAATTTCTAGAATCTAGAACTTGACAGTGAAAACAGATAATTTAGAGCATGAGAAAGAGACAATAGTCTCAGATTATAAACAAATCAGTGAGAGGATCCAGGAATTTGAAAGAAGTTGGAAGGGTGAATGTGGGGGGGGGGGGCACACACACACACACACCAGAAAGTCAATTTTACAAATTAAGGGCCAAAACCAGCTCATTTCCAACATTGTTGGGGCCATGTTACAAAATACAAAATGTTTTGAATATGGATGGCAGGAATGGCAATCTCAGTCTAAAAATTAAAATGCTATTTTTCCCTCCCTTTTTTTTCATTTTGAAATATTTAGGGAGCCCTGGGCTTCCCTCCCCTTTAAATTAAACTATGCAAATTTATATAAAAGATGATTAACTTTCTGCTGGCCAAATATTGGATAGCAGCCAGGGAATCTTTTTAAAATATTTTATATTACAACAAAACAAACAACTATTTGAATCTGGAAATGGAAAGCACATGTTTCTACCTCCCTAATACCAAACAAACCACAACTAATGCCCCATAAAAGCTTTGGTTAAGGATTGAATGGTCCAATAAGGAGGAAATTGGAAAATTAGTTTTTCCCAGTAAGATTGACTGCTACCTTTTACTTTATTGTCAAAGCAACTTGCAAACAATTTGTTGTATCTTTTTTTCTGTTAGCTCAATTCCAAGACACATACTGAAATTCCTTTAATCTGATATGAAAATGAAAGCTTTTTTATTTCCCATATGCTTGATAATTTTTAATTGATTGATTGGTGTGGGATTAATTTCAATGCCAATGATCGGAATATAGAACAAGAGCAAATGTATTGTCAATTAACAATAACATACACATAACTAAATATTAAATGTATTTCAATTTGACTTTTGATCTTTAAGTTTCTTCATTTTCTTTGTATCTTCTTGCAAAAATGGCCTTGTGAAAAACACTATTATGGAGATACAATTTGTTTCCAATTTAAAATAAAGTATTTTATATACTGTGTTCCACATAAATCTATTAGATTTCAACTAAAATTTACAAAAAAAATAATTGTCCTGACCAATTTAAAGGCATTCAAATAACATCATTCCTATAATCTGCAAAAATTATAGATTTCTGTGGTGAGAACATCAGTACATAATTTAAAATTATTTTTTAAACTGTGACATAGATAACACGATTTTTTTAAACAAACAAGTTATATTTTCATTTTTGAGATATTTTTCTTATTATTTTTGTAGCAAAATTTGTAAATCAACAATAACCTAAATTATTTTGACCTCACTGGAAGTTATTATACTGAAACTTCATTAACACATGGATTGCCAAGCCTTTTTTCATCGTAGGGTGCTACCATTATGAAAATCCTTCCCATCAAGTAACGAAACATAAACGTATGGTATATATATTTTTAGATGACTACAACCACGGTTCTTTGCTGAACCACCAGAACGTGAGTTTGTGTTCTGGTGACAACTGCCAGCTTGATTACGTGCAATACAATAGTGGTATGTTTGGTCAGGTGTGGATGTGAACTCATCAGGGGTGTACCCAGGATTTTTTTCTGGGTGGGTTGTGATCATAATTTTTTGGAGCTTTTCAGTGGGAAAAAGGAAAATCGATTACAGCGCGACCAGCTTGAAGCGGATTGCAGGCTCAGTTTCAGAATTGCTGGAATTGAGATAGATTACGTCATGCAATTGGCAAGGTCTTTGGAGTCATTGCTGGTACCTCATCAATGCTTTTTCATTTGTCATTGTGAAAAGGCCCTAGAAAAAAATGTCAATGAAAAAAATGTGGAACTTTGACAGTTTTTTTGGGGGAAGGGGGTCGTACGACCTTCCCAAGCCCTCTTTGCATACACCCACGCTCATGTCCTTGGCGCTCTGATTAAACCATGTCTGACGTGAACTCGCATCCCTGGCAGGGAACATGTTAAGCAATTCTATGTTTTAATTGAATTTTTAGGGTTTCGGCAGATTGTACTACTGAGAACAGAGCAGCTTGAAAGCTCAGACGAACTGGTGGTGCCAGTGTGCATGTGCTGGTTCAATTCGTCAAAAGACGTTTTAGCCCTTGGTACATTGTGCAATAGGCATACAGTGGAAGAGATTTGGTGCAGTAGAAATGGTTTAGTTCCCCAACCAAGAGGTCGGGGTTTCAATCCTTCACTGTGCATTTCGCTTGTGTTCTTCAGCAAGGCACTTTATCTACATTGCTTTAGTCTACCCAGCTGTATCAATGGGTACCAGCAAAATGTAGCCTGCAGTGGACAAGCGTCCCACCCAGGGGGAGTATCACGCTCTCATCCGCTTCACGCTACAGAAACTGGGGATAAGCCCCACCAGCCCTATGAATCCCATGGCTAGGCAAGGATTTACTTTTGTGCAATATGGTCTAAGTGCATGTTGAAGTACTGAAAATTCACCAGCATAAAGACTTTTGAATTTAGTGTGACATATTAAAATTCAATGAAAGGTAATTATGAACATAACTAGTTTTGATAATATACAAACGATGATTTTGACTACTGGTATCACTATTGATACTTTGAATAAAAAACAAAATCATAGAACACATACAAGGAAAAATCACAATACAAAAATGTTAATATTGATATTTACATCAATGTTTACTATTTTGGAACAAGACTGACGACCCTGACAAATTTCACATAGAAAAACTTTTTTGATAGAGTATAGTACTAGGTGAAAACCTTAGTGCCATATATTGACAATTTATTTATTAAAGCTGTTTTCTGAATATATTGTTGCTATTTTTTCAGATTGCTTTTTCATGTTTTCGCACAGGGGTTTTCTACCCTCCACTTTGGTAAATTTCCATGCATGGATCTTCTTCAAATTTGGTCACACCAAAGTCCATAATTCATGCAAGGTGTGCCTGGTGTAAAATGTCATTCTACATATTTTTAATATTAATGAATGACACAAGACTTAACAGGGTTGAGTTCTAGTGCAATGGTTAGAACGCTCCGCACTATATCTCAAAGTCAGTTCTCTGCTGCCAATGCCAGTCACTTAGAGGAGACATATTTGAAGGCTTGCTTATACCATACACTAGATGGCAATCATTTTACAAGAAATAAGATGTATAAAAAATTGCTTTTAGTGTAAGGAATACTATATTAATTACTTTATAAATTAACCACCTTCCCATTTCAGTTTTTAAACTGGTGGTAACTAGAGCTCAAATCTAAGTAGCATCAATTTTTTAAGTAGTTTTTAACTTCTTATTTCAAAGATCATTTCTCATCATATATAGTTTTATCTATTTATGCATTTTTTATATTAGCTTTTTTATCTTTTATTCTTGCTTCGACTTTTCATTGTTTTTGCAAGCTTCCTTAAATGATATCATACTTGTCTTGTTGATATTTACAAGCGTTTAATCATTTTAGTTTCTACTTCAAGATAATTTCTTTTGGTTACAATTACTTTGATTATTTAATTATACTTGCTGTATGACAGCACGGCAGTCTGTGAGTGCCACCGTTCTAAAGGTGAAATGTCATCATATAAATAGAATATTTACAATATAATATATTTGTACTATATTTTATTCAAATTAAAAAGTCTTCAAACCGTAATATCATTTCATAATAGTATAAAAAGATAATGAGGCAGGATGCCTTGAGCAGATGCCCTCATCAATCAATTCCTATATTTGATTTGAATTAGAAATTAGCATCTTGATTAGGTACAATCCTCAAAGATGTACAATCATTCAAGAAGACAAAAAAAACCCTCAAATATCCAAATAAATTTTGAATAGCTTATTTAAAAAGATCAAATAAATTCATTAGCTAAGTAGATTTCACCAATTTACAGAGATTTTACTTCAAAAATCCTTAAATTCATTACTAGTCAATTTAAGGAGTTATGCAAAAGAATACAAGAAAGTTATTACTGTATTTACCTGTCCAAAAATTAATGGGAGAATTTTTCTAATTCAAATTTTTAATTTTAAGTTAATACCTTACTTAAACATACAAATTAGGCAATTAAAATGTGGAATTAAAATTTGTTTAAATCATGATTATTAGTATCTTTAAATTTAAGGGCATCATCATTTTTGTGGGCTTAAGAACTACAGTATTGCATAAAAACGTGAATCTTTTTCTGAAATTCCCCAAAGTGTACCATGCTGGCAATTAGGAATTCTGCCGGCAACTCAAACTCCTTGGGATCACCTTAACAACTATTTATATGAATTCCAACGGGAACGAAAATAGAAATAGAAC